ATAAATTATTTCAAGGATCTCGGTAGCCAATTTTGTAAGCTTCATGTAAAATTTGAAACAGACTCGACATATCTCTGGAATTTGTCAGTCGCTATAGGACAACATTACACATCTTCGCGTAAATACCGTGAAGCCTGCTGGTAGACTGACTCACTAGGCTGGACACTAATTAACGTTACACGCGCGCGGATTTCTGATGAGTCACTAAATGTGCAGTGGGGTGAACTTTCATACGCGATGGAGATTAAGAGTAGCAGCAGGATTGCAGCAGCAGTCGGTATTTGGCGTCAGTTTAATCCAATGTATTTTATATATAAAAGTAGACACTATGGACAACACCCAGAGACAACAGTATTTCATGCTAAAAAATCGTCAGGGATATATATATATATATATATATATATATATATATATATATATATATATATATATTATATATATTAAAAAACGTTAAAAAATCGCTACACAATTACAATCGTGTAGCGATTTTTAACAGGTTTTTATTTTAATATCCTAAAATAAATAACATTTACCCCTAATCTGTATTGAGCCCTCTTTTTTAATTATGTTACGTACAATGGAATTATACTCCATTTGTTCTCATTTTTACCTGGATATTATATTATATATATATATATATATATATATATATATATATATATTATATTATATATATGTTTAAAAATATGATTCCATCGCTACATAAGAGTTCTCATGTTTCAAAACAAGAGCCGAAAACTTCAATATAATTATTTGAATTAAATTGAATTAAAGTACCAAGCTCTGTTCAATCGTCAAGCGAAATTTTTTTGATAAAAAAAAAAAAAAAAAAAATGGAATCATATTTTTAAATAAATAATTATATTTATGCTCTACTTTTGTATCGAGCACTGTTTTTTTTTTTAAAATAATAACAAAAATACTAAAGAACTTTGGATTATTTACCTAACGAGTTCTTTCCTATTTTCTATATATTTTATTTTTATATATATATATATATATATATATATATATATATATATATATATATATATATATATATTTAAAAATCCAGATAGAACTCAATGTCCAGGACAGAGTAAGAATATAATATAAAAGGCTCAAACACTAATATTCCATTGAATTTGTAGGTCTGATGAATTGGATCGTGATTACGATTTCAATGTAATAAATTATAACCATGGAATATTAGCGTGTGAGCCTTATATATAAGTTGACAATGCCAATATAGATTTTGTTGGTTGAAATACCTATTCGAATGAGATAAATTTGGATTTCTATTCTATGTAATTTATATGCTCTATTATAAATACATTGAGTTCTTTTTGTGGATCAGTTTTAATATTTTATATTATTAAGATTCATTTGAATTATCACACACATACACACACACATTATATATATGTGAATAATCTTTTTGCCTCATGTGGGGGATAAACTATTTCGGCAGACGATGAAAGTGGTCGTCTGTCTTTTCAATCCCGATGTGAAAATCGTCTGCCAAAATAGTCTATTTTATTCTTGAGCTAAAAAAATTTTTAATTATTATTCATTTATATTGCTGTGTACAAATAAAATACACTTAAACGTTTCGACAGTGAAAGGGTGGGACGAAGATGCCAACCTAGTAGCACGCTTAAATTCATGCAGTTGTGGTACCAGTGAAAGTAGCACGTCAGAGCAGTTGCCATCAAAATATTTGTAGAAAAGATAGTGGGAAGCCACAGCACGTCTGTGAGAAAGTGACTGTAGACGAGATACCCGTTGGAGAATTTGACACTAACAGAACATATGGAAGGTAAGAGACGAATGAACAATTCACCTACCTAACGAGCCTGGGTAAGTGGATGGTAGAACGGAGACTGGCAAAGACAGTGAAAAAAAAAAAAAACATTGCTAAGTTTAATAATGCTTCTCTTAACGTATTTCCTGTTAGAATTTTTTCGAGCCCAGATAAAAATAAAAGTGAGATGTAATTTGAATGCTGCTTTTTTGAAGTAGACACGTCCGGGGCCTAAAAATAATGGTGTAAATCTTAGTAACATTTCTACAAAAAAAAAATGTCTGAATTTCTGGTATGACGAGTTATTATTTACACTATTTATATTCGGATTATCCTCATGTTTGTTTTTGTTAACACAGCGTTTCGGCCGTTGTACCCCCATCCATCCTCAGGTGTATATCGATCTGGGTAAGTGTTATATCCTTGCTAGGGCCAGAAATAAAGACACAACGAGAGGAATTGAGTTAAATATAGTAACAGAAACAGTAATACAAACATATACAAGCGCGAGTGTTACAGCAAGACTGTCAGAGCTGACTGCTGGAAAGTTCCCTCTCCAAAAGGCAGTACCTGCTCCTACTTATAGCTGGGAGAGTCCATGCGTGCGTGGGTAAATTACCATAACAGTAACCTACTGGGAATTCTGAACTAAACCCTTTATTTAATCTACGGGGGTAGACTGTTTTCGTTGCACTTATGTCTAGGGGTATCTTCTGACAGCAGCAGTAATCAAAACATGACAGTCAGCAACAGCAGTTGCAGCTTAATCAGCAACTAGGTTAGGTTTAAAGCCCAAATTTCACTACAGAAAATTGTGCTCTGAGATAATGGCCTAGTGCTTAAAAGCCTTGGTGACATAGTGGCTGCGAGTTCAATCCCTAGATCGGGCAGCGTGGAAACGGGCGAACAATAAATAAAAATAAAATCTTGACGATATCTCGAGACATGAGCAGAGGAACGAGAACAGGATATCCCCGTAGATTAAATAATTAGGTTACGCAGATCGTCATATCCCTGAGGAAGGCCGAAACGTATTAACGACGAAGACAATACCCCCCTCCAAAAAAAAATAAAATAAAAAAATAAATAAATAAAAAATATTCTATAGAAACGTATGCGAAATTTTCAACTGCGAAGGAGGTCTGACAATATTTCGACTCGCTTTTGAGTGAATATTACAATTTTTCATTTTAATTCCTTCTTTGTTAGACCGAGAAATTTTAAAAACGCATCTTATACAATCTGAAAAAAAGAATTAGTTAAAGAGTGGTCCCTGAAGATTACATATTCGTTGTCGTCATGTGGCGAGTATCACCCTCGTGAGGTTAAAAGAAACTTGTTTTGTACAATAGATCTAGTACTTCTTTCCCGTACACCACGCCTAAGTAACAAAGACTTCCGCCTTCTTGTTATTACAGCTAACAAACAAACAACGACGACATAAATTGCTGCTATGAAATTTTAAACACTTTCTCGTTGGAGCAGTTTTTCCACTTGAAACACATATCTTGTTACCAACTTGAAACGTTTATGCATGCAATCAGTTCTAGCCTAGTAATCTGAAGATCGGACAGGATTTGTTTTTTTTTAAGTAAAATTATTCAAGAAGTTGCAAATAATAAATATTAAAAATTGCGAAACACAAAAACATCCCAAACGCGCACACACAAAAAAAAAAAAACCCAAAAAACAAACACACACAAATACCAAACACTCACTTTAAAGGTACACATATACTCAAATCTCAAATAAAACAATCAAAAACACACACACACACACACATGTACAGAAAACACACACACACACACACACAGTACTAAATTCTTCCCGTGTTATCCCTTTTAATAAAAGACATCAAAATCTAATTCGTATCTTGACCTATTTATTGATGTAGAATATTCTGTCGGTAAGAAGGAAATAAAAATAAGACAAATTCCAGACCCCATTTAAAGTAACGGCTCCTATTTTTCTATCGTTACTCGAGTACACTTTAATATGAAACCTTTATTGCATTTTCATTATTCTTTGCATTGACAAAATATTTTGGACGATGGAGGAAAAATAATTGATTACACAGCAATTTCTCGTTTATTTTTTTTTTTTTTATTTAAACTAAAGTTGGTCTTAACAAATTTCGCCATGGAATTTGTGTTTGAAACTCTTTAAAAAGAAAAGTTATCAGTGACAAGAAATTAAAACGATTGATACGGACAGAATAGGTCTATTGATATGTCTAATTTAACTGAATTATATAAAAGATACGACGAGGAATGTTTGAAAAATGAGAAAGAAATGAATTGTCAGTGGTTAAGAATTAAGGTTAGCATTGCTAAAAAGAATGCGAATTAAAAATTTTTTTAAGATAAATGAATTTTCCTTTATATTCAAAGAAAAATGCCCTTAAAACCAAAGAAAAATTGGTTAATTTTACCAAATTGAGAAAAAGAGGGAAAAAGAAACTTTTGGAAAGAAAATCAGAAAAAAGAAAAAAAAAGAAAAGATGAAAATTTCAGACAAAGATCAAGAGAAAAACAAATTGAGAAAAATTTGAAGAGAACAACTAAAACAATTTAAAAAGGGAAAATCAAAAAAAAAAAAAAGGTTTGTAAGAAGATAAAATAGGAAAGAAATATAAAATTAAAAAAAGGTAATGAATGAGAAAAAAAAGAGAAAGAGAAAAAAAAAGTAAGAAAGAAAAGAAATAAAGAGAAAAAAAAAAAAGAAAGAAAAAAAGAAGATAAAAAAAAAAAAGAGGAAGAAAAATGAAGGCAAAAAAGAAGAGAAAAAGAAGTTGAAGAAAGAAAAAAAAAAGGAGAAATAAAATAAAAAAAAAAAGTTAAAGAAAAAAAACAAATTAAAAAAAATATTTTCTTAAAAATTAGAAATCCTTTTGAGAAAAAAAAGAAAACAAAAAGAAAGAATCAAAGAAGGAAAAAAAGAAAAAAAAAGAGAGAGAAAGAAAGAAGGAAGAAAAAAAGATTGAAAAAAGAAAAAAAAAAGAATATCGAGAAAAAAAAAAAAAAAAAGAGAGAGAAACGAAAGAAAGAAAAAAAGAAAGAAAGAAAAGAAAAAGAAAATGAAGAAAGGAGAGAAAACAAAAAAAAAGAAAGAAAGAAAGAAAAGAAAAAAAAAAGAAAGGAAAAGAAAGGAAAAGAAAAAGAAAGAAAGAAAGAAAGAAACCAAAGAAAAATAAAAGAAAACCAAAAGAGAAAAAAGTTTATTCAAGAAAAAAAAAGAAAATTAAAAAAATAAAAAAAGAAAGAAAAAGAGAAAAAATAAAAAGAAAAGAAAGAAAGAAAGGAAAAAAGAGAAAGAAAAAAGAGAAAGAAAAAAGAAAAAAAGAAAGAAAAAAAAAAGTCCCCAAAAAGAGAGAAAGAAAAAGAAAAAAAGAGAATTGTCTTAAAAAAAGAGAAACCAAAAAAAAAGAAAGAAAAAAAAGAAAAAAAAGAAAGAAAAAGAAAGAAAAAAAGAAAGAAAGAAAGAAAGATTTAGAAAGAAAAGAAAGAAAGAAAGAAAGAAAAAAAAAAGAAAAAAAACAAGGAAAGAAAACGAAAGAAAAGAAAAAAAGAAAAGAAAGAAAGAAAGAAAGAAAGAAAGAAGAAAAGAAAGAAAGAGAAAGAAAAAATGAAAAAGAAAGAAAGAAGAAAAAATGAAAGAAAGAAAGAAAAAAGAAAAAGAGAGAAAAAAAAGAAAAGGAAAATGTCGAAAAGAAAAAAAGAGAAAAAAAATGGAAGAAAAAGAAAATGAAGAAAGAAAAGAGAAGAAAGATGAAGAAAGGAAAAAAAAAAAGATAAAAGATAAACTCTAGAAGAAAAAAAAGAAAAGAGAAAGAAAGATATGAAAAAAAAAAAGGATTCATAATCGAAAAAAAAGAGAGAAAATAAAAGAAGGAAAAGAAAAATAAAATAAAAAAAGTTAGGAAAATAGAAAAAAAAAAGAGAGAAAATGTAGAAAGAAAAATCAAAAAAGAAAAAGAGAGGAAAAAGAAAGAAAAAAAATTAATGGATTCCTAGAGAGGAAAATGACAGTGAATGAAAAAAGAAAAAAAAATGGAAAATAGAGAAATAACGAAAATGAAAATTAAAAAATAAAAAAAAGAAAAAGAGAAAGAAAGAGAGAAATATAGAGAGAGAATACAGGAGAAAAGAAAAGATAAAGAAAAGAAAGAAAAAAGTCATTGATAAAGAGAAAGAGAGAATAAAAGACAAAGAAAGATAAAGAGAGAGAGGAAAAAAACAAGAAGTTAGAGAAAGAGAAAAAAAATTTTGGAGAGAATAAGAAGATTGTACATTTTGAAAAAGTAAAAAATAAAAACGATTCTAAGCGGGTTGAAAAAAGAAAGAAAAAAATTCTGGGGAGAGAAAAAAGACTGGGGATGGCAATAGAGATGGGAAAAAATAAAATGGGAAGAAAAAATAAAGATTTCAAAAAACAACAAAAAGAATAAAATTCATTGAATCCAGAGAAAAAAAAAAGGTATTTTTAGAGAAAAAAAATAAAGGCCTTGAGAGAAGAGAAAAAAAAAACTTTTTCAAGATCAAAAAAAGAAGAAAAGAAAGAATAATAATTCTTATATAAATGAAAAAAAAAGATTGTTTGAAATTGGCCAAATATCATGTATGAAATTAGAAACACCACGTCAGAAAAAACTGAACAGAGAAAGAAAACGAAAAAAGGAAAAAAGAAAAAAAATTGAAAGAAAACCCAAAGATTGCTAAACAGAAAGAAAAAAAAATCTTTTTAATTTTTTTATAAAAATTTTCTTAAAGAAACCGAAATTACCTAAATTAAAAAAAGGAATAACGTCATCATCTCAAAAAAAAAAAAGAAAATGCTTCCAAAGAGCTTTTAGAAATTCTTTATAATAAAAGAAATTGTCCTTTATTGAACACTATTCTGATGTTTTTTATTATTTTTTCAAAAAAGAAAGAATGAAAACTGGTAGAAATTTGTTCCTTAAGGAAAAGTTTAATAGATCTCAAATTTTTCTTATTTTCCAGAATTAAAAATTATTTTTTCTGTTTTTTCTTTTTCATATTTTATCATTTTTTCCTAAACATAAAAAAGCAAAAATAAAATTATAAGTTTATAACTTTTTGAATATTAAAAAATAAAATTTTAATAATTTTAAAAAAAATGAAATATGAAAACAATTTAAAAAAAAAATGAGTAGTAGATATTTATAAAAACTGGGAGAACAATGGATTAAAATTTTCAGGATTAAATGAAAAAACATATATCAAATGGCAAAAAAGTTTTGAAAAATTGGAAATAATAAAAAAAAATTTCATTAAGAATCAGATGAAAAAACAACTTTCAAAAAAAAAGTAAAATTTAACTTCTTTGTTTATTTTTAATTTCAATTGATGTAAAACCATAAAAATGCATAAGTTAATTATTTTCAAAATATGAATATTTATAGCATTGAAAACAACATAACTTATGTCATGAATCTCATATTTTATTATTTTTTTGGCAAAAAATAAATATAATTTTATTTCATCTGATGGCCGTTAAAAAAAACTCTAATTTTAATTCCTTTCTTTTTAATTAAAGCTCTTTTAATTATTGTTTTTATAAATATATAAAACCATTTTTAATGATTTAAAAATTTCAAGGTTTAAACAATGAAATTAAATTTTCAAAACGAAAAGACAAAATAATCAACTGAAATTTAGTGAGCGTATTAAAAAAAAAGCCCCGATTAAATTGTGTATATAAAAACTAAAAACAAGTTAGTAAATCAAAAATTGAAAAATCATAAAATACAATTTCATTTATGTATATTTTAAGGACAATTTTTTGAAAAATTTTTAAATAGTAAAAAACAAATTAACAAAATTTTCTTTTTGTTCTAGTGAGATATTTTTGTAGAATGACTAATTCTCCTCAACGCCGTACTAGATTGGCAGTTAGGTCAAAAAATTTTGCAGTGAAAATGATCTAAAAAATTAGTTCTTTGATAACAGAAGGATCTCGCACTTCTCTAAAAGAACTCTCATCAAAGTGCTAATTTTTAAAAAATCAACTTTCAATATCAAAAATAAAATGCAATGCTAATCTCTATCTTTTGTTTTCTTAATTCCTGTTCATTTATTTGTTCTAATTCTTTTTCTCATTATTTCATACTCAATAACCCTTTGCGTCTTAGTGACTTCATCGTATTGCTTGGTATAAAATGATTAAAAATTATTTATTACTCCAAACGTTTTATTGAACGTTACACCTGTCGGAAAAGACACCCTGATTATTATTATTGTTATTATTATTAATAATAATAATTTAATTCTTATTTTTTAAAATTCGTTATATTGACAATTCTGTGGTATTCAGGACATTGCTGACCATTTCGATTTTTTTTTGGAGGGGGGATCTCTCCTAATCCCTGTTCTGCCAAGCATTTATACAAGCTCGTTAGGAAAGTTATGCTGGTTTTCTAAGTGTAACTTAGATGTGGCCCAAATCTGAAAGTATGGAGTACTCGTCATAATCGTTATAGCAAGCTCGCTAACCATTAAACCACATTCAGGTGTCCTAATGAATTTCTAAGCGTAGCTTAGATATGGCACAAGGCCGAATGTATGGGGCATCCACTGAGGATCGAACTCAATACTTAGTTGTAATTCTTCTAGTGAGACAAGCTCGTTAACCATTACACCACGCCAAAGTGTAGGTTATGCGCTGTTTTCCTTTGTCCTTCTTGTCTCTGTGAGTGTCGAATTTTCTAAGCCCTCTTTTCTCATTATGTGACCGAGAAATTGTAAGAGTCTCTTTCTGATGGTAAATATAAGTTTTGAAAACTTTCTCTACAATTTCGTCGATGCTTACATGTTCAGTCCATGGTATTCTAAGTATCCTTCTGTAGAACCAAAAGTTTTGTTGTTCCTAGTTTGTTGTTTATCTAGGAAGAGGTTGTCCAGAAAGTGTTTACCAAAGTCCAAACGAGATCACAGAATGGATTTACTGTCCTTATTCGGTGGTCTGCGTGTTGTAGACTTTTGCTTCAGGCAGAGGGAAAAAAAATCAGACAAAAGGTTTGTTTCTTGTGTTTTCATTGGTTTTACTGTACTTTGAAAAGGAGACCATATTCAGCGTTTTAACTTTCAGCTGCGAATCATTTACTCAGGCACATCATGACTTGCAGAGAGATTGTGCGAAAGAGTTCTGAGAGGGTCTCTCGGCACTACCAAGACGGTGTTTAAATATTATACATCGGAACTTCGGTCATTTGGTCAGATACTGGTAAGCCACAGTCTTTGAAAAATTTTTTTAACAAAAACGATATGGGGAAGATACACCGAAATTTATTTTAATGTCATTATGTCTTGTTTTTAATGTTTCTCGCTATTTATATATATATATATATTATAATATATATATTTAAGGAAATTACTGAAAGTAATAAAACTCACCTTTTGAAAGTAATGAATGTGTAATGCTCCTCATGCAAATGACACTTCCATTTATATAAGCACGGCATCTGATTTCACTAAAATTTTGATGTGTTCCGATCAAAATTTATATTTAAACTGGGGTCATCAGGAGAGAATGTTGCACCGTTTCAGGGGCTATGGGCAACTGGACGTCTAGCCATACTGGTGACATGTGATACAGCATAAACAATCTGTCTATGGATGACTATATATATATATATATATATATATATATTTTGAAGAAATATAGTCTTTAAGATGTGAATATTTATGGGATAAAGTGCTCAATATTAGAGATAGATTTCTTGTAATATAAAAGTGAACAGAAGTCAACTCTTAGAGCCTCTAAGTTTCTTTTCTAAAACATATATATATATATATATATATATATAAATAAATTCCATAGTTTATATATTATTTTTTGTTTTTATGCTAATTTTTTTTTAAAATTTGTTGATGTCGGTAAAAAAATAACTCCTGCCTATGGTTTATATAAAAAAATGGTTTTAAAAAAACGAGGCAAAATTTTTTTAAGTGGAAAAAAACAAAATTACACAAAATTAAATTTTCAAATAAATCAATTTTAAAGGATGGAAATTGGTTTTGCTGACATCAATAATGTTCCGATTTAAAAAATTTAAAAAAAAAACAAAAAACAAAAAAAAATAGATAAATAAATAAATTCCATAGTTTAATAAGTCTTAAAAAGCTTATTGTTAAATCATTAAATATTTTAAAAAACCCTTTAAAGTCGTCAAAAAACAAGTTGTAGTTCAATGCAACAAGTTTTTTTTTTTTCAATAGGGATTAATTTGAATAAACAAATAAATTTAAAAGATTAACATATAAACCAAAATATATTGTATATATTCAATAAATTTTCGTCCCGAATGAAATTTGATATATATAAACAAATTGTTCACCGCAACCATTTTTATTTTTTTGAATATATACCCCAAATCTTTCTGACCATTTTTTAGTTCCGAAAGTGAGAATTCTTTTTTTATTAACTGCCTATATATAAATATTTGGCCGAATATATTCTATTTTTCACATTAAAAAGAATCAAATATGGACCATACTTATAAACACGTTTTTTTTGTTTTGTAATAGGAATATTTAAAAAAATATATATATAAACACAAATAAATATATTGATACAACAATTTTGGTAATTATGTTGATATTTATAAATATATATTATATATATATATATATATATATATATATATATATATATATATATAAAAAAAAATGTTGTAGTGGTTCCAACGAGAGAAAAGTATGTATATTAAAGAAGAGAAGAGAGGTGCCGCAAACGTTTTTGGTTGTAATGTGGATTTATTTAGAAAAAATATTATGCTTTGTTTTACATAATTTTACTACACGTGTTTCTGGTCTTTCTGGTCTTCAGGTCTTCGTCTTCAATAAAAAAATTAATTTTTTCTTTTCTCTTTTTCATATTATTAAAAATAATTAATTTTTTCTTTTGTATATATCGAGAAATATTTAACTCGATATGGCAATTATGTAAAACAAAGCAAATTTTTTTTGTAGATAAATCCACATTACAACCAAAAAACGTTTGACCAGAAGTTACATACTTTTCAGTTGGAACCACTAATCCACTTTTATATATATATACACACATAAATAAATTGAATTTCTGCATTAACTCATCAGGGGCTTCTCCAATTGTTTAAAATCTATCAGTTTAAAATAAAAAAAACGTTATTGACATCAATTTAATTTGAAATGTTCGATTACGTGTATTGTGCCGGACAATTTCAGATTAGAATATGTCACATCCTAACATCCTTAAAAAAAAAAAAAATTGAATTTTAATTTATGTTGACGGCAAAATGTTTTAAGTATATTATATTGTATTTTACAGCTGAAATGAATCTATGTCTGGTAACAACTTCTCCTGCACTTCACGTTTGTAGAACTCTATTCCGGCTTCTTGCTTTCCATTCAACTTTGAATTCGAACAATTTAAATGCAGTGTCATTCTATCTCCTTGAATCCTGTCCTTTTGTCTTCTCTCCTTAATAATGATTTCTCCCGGGACTATTTCACTCTCAGTAACCGCTTGCGTCTTAATGGCTTTGTCGCTTTGCTTTGGGTAAAATGTTTAAATGTTTGAGTGTGTGAACACGAGCGTCCGCGAATGAAAAATAGTCGGTTCGTTAAAAAATCAATGGATATGCGAGTAGTGTAATGGATAGCGGTTCGAAATTTGAAATCGTAGATCCGAATTCGAATTCCAGTTAGGTTTGTTTACATTCACTTATCACGAAATGGTTAAGATATGAGTAAAAGATCTCAGATTCCGATATTAAGGGCCATAAACTTAGAGGAAAAATAGAAGAGACCATCATGTCTTAGTGGCTTTGTCGTCTTGCTTTGGGTGTTAAAACAGAAAAAAGAAAATTAAAAGATCTCTTATCAGATGTGCGATTTATAATCTACAGACAATAATTCCATTATGGTCAACGCCAATATTTAATAAGTTAATGCGATACTGAATTTACTACCAGCTTCGTGGGAGAAATATTTTGGGCCAGATGTCGATGTTCACGACAGAGTTAAAAAGAAAGATTTCAAGTGTTGAATTTAAAAGCCCTTCATTGTTGGTCGTTTGGTACAACACCATCTTCCTACACCCATTTTTCGTTTTCGTGCTGTATCAAGCTAAGTAAATATTGAATTTTGGCTGACACGACGATGTATTTATGCAAGTCGCATATTGCGTAGTAAAGGTCTTGGGACATTAACTTCACTTATCAGTAAACGTTTACAGTAAAATGTCAGCAGTTATCGTGAACTTAGATTTACGAAACTTTACGTTTCTTCGGGAGATCAAGTGTTTTTCACGTTTTAGGCAAATCGATCAATTCTTGAAATTCAATATTCATCTCACGTTTGCTGAATTAGCAAATGTAAATTTAAAATGGGGGAAACAAATTAGGGAAGCTTTTTCTAGCCTTGAATTGCAGAATTTGAAATGTATTGCGTTTTTTTTTTAAATGTCATGTTCTTTCATAGAGTAGGCGACTACGGCTCTCCACACCTTCCCTTTTTAATATCTAAATTATTATGACTCTTCTTGAAAAAGATAGTGGAGTGGGTTCTCGTTGCTCTTTCCGTGGTTTTGAATTCAGAGTTGATTTTCGATTGACCACCTATGTTCAGCATAGCTTAAGGGGAAGTGCATTCATGCCTTTCCAAATGAATGACACTAGAGTGATATGAACATAACAGCGTCTGGAGTTTTACAAGTATGTTCTTGGGAAAAGCATGCATCTAATTCATTCGAAAAGGGTAAAAAAAAAAAGAATTAGATCAAATAAAGCCATTTACAGCACCAAATGCAAAATGATAGTTAAAAAATGGTAACATTTGAAAAATGAAAAAATGAAGATTAATAACATTTTAAATATACTAAATTTAAGAATATCAAAAGGTTCAATTCATTCTTTTATTCCCTTTTATTATTATTACCATGTTCTTCGATGTATTAGACGCACATTTTTACTTTAAAAACTGATGGCAAAATATGACTGCGTTCTATACACCAAAGTTATTAATATATATATATATATATATATATATATATATATATATATATAAATAAGAAGGGTTTAGTACCCTTCGAAGGAATTCTTTATAACAATAGTATGAGAATGCCGTGTAACATGCGAGCAACAACGAAGTTTTTGCAGAAAACAAAAAGTTAACTCATACTTAACATCAGGAAGAGACAGTTGAGGTTTCTAGGGCACATAATGAGGAAAGAAGGCTTGGGAAATCTGTTACTCACAAGACAGAATAAAGGCAAGCGGGACAGAGGAAGACAACGTATAACATACTTAGTGAGGTTGAGTAAATGGATGGCCAACAAGGTTCAGGGGAAATAACAGAGTGTAAAGTTTATTAAGAGCTACAAGGGACAGGAAGTTGTGGAGAACCATTATCGCATACGTCCTGAGGGAACACGGTGTACAAAGATGGATTTCAAAAGTGAAATGCACATTGCCAATCAGAGTGCTTAATGCAGTTAATATCGGTCATCGCCTAATTGGTAATTCAGTTTTCATTAGATACTTGGCAAAACTGTCTTTAAAATAAGAGTGCGTCTTGTACACCGGTGTGTCTTATATTCAGATTAAAAAAAAAACCAAAATACTAAAACGGTATTTCCTTTTTTTCATACTGCCAAATGTCTGTTATTGGACTCTATATTCCTTTTTAATTATGTCCTTGTTGTTACAATGTATATACTTGTTTTTCCATACTGTAAAGAATTTAAAAAAAAATAAATAAATAAAATAAAAAAAAATTGCTGAATTTGTTTAATATTTTTATAAAAATGTTAGCTCCATAAGTAAACACTCGATGGGTAACATTTCCACCCAACGCTCTAATAGGCGATTCTTGCCAACCAACTCACTACCCTTTTTTCGTAAGTGTTTTTGACTGACCACAGATTTCTGCTAATATATATATTTTTTAATTATGATATTATATCCCGGCCTGATGATCCTTGAGTATAGGGTAGGAACTCAAGTAGCTAAGGTCTTTTATATTTTATTTAAGCTCTAAGTATTGAGCGCTTTTAC